GATTCTCCTGCCTCAGCCTCCTGAGTAGCTGAGATCACAGGCATGCGCTACCATGCCCGGCTAATTTTTGTATTTTTAGTAGAGACGGAGTTTCACCATGTTGGCCAGGATGGTCTCGATCTCTTGACTTTGTGATCCATCTGCCTTGGCCTCCCAAAGTGCTGGGATTACAAGTGTGAGCCACCATGCCCGGCAACAACTTCTTTTTAAAGACTCCAAGAAAGATTTAATGTGGTGCTTCGAAGACCATCTCAGGGCTTTTAAGAATCTTAAGCGCATTGTCCCATTGCAGCCTGACATGTAAAGTAGAGAGAGATCTATTTAAAAAAAAAAAAAAATGAATGTGAATCTTGGAACATGGAATTAAACCTCAGCAAGATTTACATAAATAAAGTTTTTGAGAAAATTGTATATAAATTTTGGAGCACGGTGTGAACCTTAATAAGATATAGAAAATCCACATGGTTTTTAAGATACTTGTATTAATGAAAGAACTGCCAGCTTGGCCCGGCGCGGTGGCTCAAGCCTGTAATCCCAGCACTTTGGGAGGCCGAGACGGGCGGATCACGAGGTCAGGAGATCGAGACCATTCTGGCTAACACAGTGAAACCCCGTCTCTACTAAAAATACACAAAAACTTAGCCGGGCGAGGTGGCAGGCGCCTGTAGTCCCAGCTACTCGGGAGGCTGAGGCAGGAGAATGGCATAAACCCGGGAGGCGGAGCTTGCAGTGAGCTGAGATCCGGCCACTGCACTCCAGCCTGGGTGACAGAGCGAGACTCGGTCTCAAAAAAAAAAAAAAAGAAAAAAAAAAAAGAACTGCCAGCTTAAACCAGAAAAAGTGCAAAATGAGAAGAGGTTTCTAGACCTTTCAGTTTCTCCTGGCATAAATGAAGCAGACTGAGAGAGCTGCTCAGCTACAAATATGGGCCATTCTTAAGAAAAGGAAATATATCTCAAAGGGAGGAGCCTAGATGTCAGAGGGCAAAACCAAAAACTTATGTAAGGCAATGGATTAAAACAAAGATCAGCAAACTGCAGCCCATAGGGCAAATCCAGCCTATTGCTTGTTTTTGCACAGCCTGTGAGCCAAGAGGCCTGGCAGCTTCAGCTTTTGCTTCTAGAAGCCTGGCTGCCATGACTACCATGGTGGAGGAAAAGAGGAGAACCTGGAGGATGTAAGACCAAGGAAGAGAAAGGCCCAGCCTGGTCTTTGTCATTCTAGCATTCCCAGCTCAGTTGCCAGACAAAGGAAGCTGCTTTCAATCTTCCAACCCCATCTAAACTACCCAACCCAACATGCTTTGGAGGCGCACCAAGCTGTCCCCACTAGGTACTGCTTAAATTGCAGAATCACAAGCAAGTAAATGGTTATGTTTAACCACTAAGTTTATGAGGATAATTTGTTATACTGCAAAAGTAACTGACACGAGGGCCTTGGGTGCATTATTTAATCCCTGGACTGGGCAGGAGGTTTTATTTGGACTCCAATTTCTTCATATATAAAAATCAAGAGCCGGATATAGTAATTCGCGCCTGTAATCCCAGAACTTTGGGAGGCTAAGGTAGGCGGATCACTTGAGCCCAGGAGTTCGGGACCAGCCTGAGCAGCATAGCAAGACCCTGTTGTCTCTACAAATACTAGAAAAATTAGCCAGGCTTGGTGGTGCGGGCCTGCGGTCCCAGCTACTTAAGAGGCTGAGGGGAGAGGATTTCTTAAGCCTCCATAGTCAAGGATGCAGTAAGCCCTAATCACGCCATGCATTCTAGCCTGGGTAACAGAGTGAGACCTCAAGTAAAAGACACAATAATAATAATAGTAAAAACCAAGGATAGGGCAATTTAATCTCTAGGGCCCCTCCCTGTTTTAACATTCTATTATTCAGTGAATAATTGTATTCTATCATTCTATCACATTTAGTGAATGCCTATCATTGCTAGCTAGGCGCTAGAAGAGGTGTTGAGTGCAGGAGATAAAGTGCAAACAAAACAAAGTTAAGCACGTAAGAGAACAATATGGACAACAGCAGGCAATCTGAGGGCTGATGTAAACATTCTCCTCAACTGGGGGGAAAATAGTCTTCTGACTAATACTCAAAAGATCTTTTATACTGGAAGAACTGGCCTCACATTCCTCAGAAATAGCAAACTATGACTTCTAATAGCTTCATTTTTATGATAACATCAGTGCACATTTCTTTAGCATGAAGCAAAGCCTGGTGATTGTACAAATCTATGGAAGTTTGGATTTGCTGCACGCCCAAGATGAGCACAAAATTCTTTTGGCCATTTGATGTCTTTTATATATTCCATATGATTTAAATTAAATTTTATCTTCCGTAAAAGGCCTATCACAGCAGTTAGGAATAAGAGACTGTGGAACCTACCTTGAGATATACAGAAGGGAGGCTGAATCCTGCCCAGTATTACTGTCTGCCTGTGTAGCCCTAATCTTCCAAAATGTTCACACCACATAGGTAGACAAACACTATTTCTGACTTTGAAGCTTTCAGGCTACACTGAAGAGCTATAAATGTAAATCAGCAGTTGTGCCCCAAGTGTTGCTTTATTTTCTATTTGGCCCTGTGGTAGGGCCCATTGTGTATAATTCCTCGTGAAAGCATCGTGTATAATTCCTCATGAAAGCGAAAGCATCGCGTATAATTCCTCGTGAAAGCGCTGCATAACACAGAGCTCTGGGTGGGTTAAGAGACCCCAGTTGTGGCTGACTTTGCCTGTCTCACTCTATGACAGTGAGCAGAGCACTGAGTATCTGTTGGCCTTGCTATCATTCTCTGATTCCCAGGCGTGAATTGACGCTCAACTGGAAAGTAAAAATGGATGTTAAGATAAATGGGAGATTAAAACACAGAATCATCAAAACCAGGAAAAAGAGCTGCAGGAAGTGAGTGTGCAAGGAGGGGTTTAAAAGACCAGCGAGAGGTCCTCGGGATTCTCAGCATTGCTTCCCTGTTAGTTTGAGGTTCGAATACAGTGTTTGCGTCGTCTGACATACAACAAATAGGTGTTTGCCTGCACGTTGCCAACGTGACTCTTGGAAGAAAAGCGAGAAACTGCAAAATCGAGCAAAGGAGTTGGCTAAACGGCTGCAAGAAAAACATACACACACACACACACACACTTGGAAGAAAAGCGAGAAACAGACTCTTGGAAGAAAAACGAGAAACAGCAAAACCGAGCAAGGGAGTTGGCTAAACGGCTGTAAGAAACATACACACACACACACGCACACACACACACGGAAGAAAAGCGAG